GGTTGCTGTGAGCTAGGCTGATGCCACGGCACTCTAGCCTGGGCAAAAAGAGTGAGACTCTGTCTCAAAAAAAAAAAAAAATTTGCAAATCATAAAAGGGTCTTAGTATCCAGTATATATAAGAAACTCCTACATCTGAACAATAAAACACAACCCAATTTAAATATTTGCAAAGCCTTTGAATAGACATTCCTCCAAAGAAAATATGTATATATGGCCAATAAGTGCATGACAAGATGCTCAACATCATTAATCACTAGGAAGTTACAAATCAAAACCACAATGAGATACCACTTCACACCGAGATGGTTATAATAATAATAATAAAAACAATGGACAATAACAAGTGTTGGTGGGGATGCAAAGAAATTGGAACCCTCATACATTGCTGGTGAGAATGTAAAACGGTGTAGCTGGTATGAAAAACAGTTTGGTAGTTCCTCAAAAAGTTAAACATAGAGTTATCATATCACCTACCAATTCTACACCTAGGTACATATACCCAAGAGAATTGAAAACATAGGTACACCAAGAACTTGTATACAAATGTTCACAGTATCATGATTCATAATAGCCAAAATGTGGAAGCAACCCAAATGTTTATCATTTTTTATTAATGGATAAACAAAATGTGGTATATCCACACAGTGGAATATCATTCAGCCATAAAGAAATGAAGTAATGATACATGCTACAACAGACGAACCTTGAAAACATGATGCTGAGTGAAAGAACCCAGACACAAAAGGCCACATGTTGTATGACTGCATTTGTATGAACTGTCCAGGACAGGCACAGCCATAGAGAAAGAAAGTAAATTAGTGATCGCGGAGGGCTGGGGGAGAAAAAGGAATTGGGAGTATGTGGGATTTCTTTTTAGAGTGATAGAAATGTTCTCGAATTAGGGGTGATGATTGCATAACATTGTGAATATACTAAAAACAGCTGAATTATATACCTAAAATGGTTAAAATGGTTAAATTTATGTTATGTGAATTTTATTAAT